CATAATTCAACACTGCATAAGCTAGAGTCGAGAGCCCCACAGTCGATGAACAAGCACTAGTAGTGAAAATTATGTGGCCTTTGCGTTGCAACGCCATGACTCCTGCGTGTTTCACTACAAGAAAAGCTCCAATGACGTTAACATTAACTCGTTCAAGATCAGACTTTGAGTGTCCAGGATGTTGCCGAATGGACAGTCCGAGCTACTGTGAACGGGCCATGCATTAGGCAGTAGCAGCTCGGAGCCTTTATGTACGGAGTTATTCTCGTAGTCTAGATTATTATTCCCCTTCTCTTAGGCAAAGGCGACATTCAAATTTGTGATGTTTTTTTTTTCTAACAAAACTGAAATTTTGATCATCTTCCAAAATCGTATCTAGTTCATATCTCCCCAGAGCAACCAGAGACTGCACGAACAATTTGTACATATCAGGCATATTTAACTTCTCAAATTTATCATTTTGCCCTTTCATTAAAAGAACTCTTGTGGCCCAAATTAACAACCCGACCCACAAACCAAGGCCCACTCATCCACATGTACCCCGCACGTCTCGATCTGGATCTCTGGCTCACACTTGGCCCAAGAAAACAACACCCACTTTGACTCAATTCCCATAAGCCCTCAACTCGCTTCCACTCACCTGTCCCGAGTTGATACTACTCAACACTTCTCTCGAAGATGCCTTGACTCTTTGTCTTGTACTCGCTGACGCTCAGTACCCAGAATACGGACTTGATTATGACCCCCTTGCACTCGTCTCGCTCTTGACTCATTGAGTCAACTCAGTCCACGGGGTCAAAAACCATCACTCCTATAAATATTATAGTTTTGCCTAATGAATATGGAGGGTTATATCAATGAATATCCAAAATTGAAATACCAAGTTTCGAAATATAACATATTATTATCAAATACCAACCTTTTTTTTTTTTTTTTTTTTGTGTGTGTGCGTTTTGAATTTTTTTGTTATTTAATAAATTTTATGTATTCCATGTTTTCTGCTCCAGAAAATATAAATGATAAATGAACAATGCATTTTACGTGATAAAATAGAGAATAAGAATAGAAAAAATGAAAATGAAAAAATATACTTAATCTCCGCTTTTGAGATTCTCAAATTTTATCGTGTTAACTAAAAAACAAAAATTAAAGCTAGAGACGAGTGGATAACTTTCAAGTTTCAATCTGTACATTAAAAACTTAAACCAAGCTTCTTCCTTCTCTTTAATCTTTTGACAACAAGGAACAACTCACACAGTTGTCTTGTCATCTTCAAGTTTTGATCTAATGAGTAATAGAGTGACAGCTGTCTCAACAAAATAGAAGTCTAAGGCAAAAAAATTTAATATAGGCATTCTCTTAATAATAATAAAAAAATTATCTAAAATTTAAATCTAAATTCACGAAATATACTGTATTACTTGATTAAAACAGTAGTACAAATTAAACTGAAAAGTAGGTTATGGAGAGCATTGTTATTTAATTCATGTATTTTTTGACTTAATTCAAGAAAGAAAGTTAATTAAATTTTAGCAGCTATTAAATATATATACAAATAGAGGCCTTAAACTCAAGGGGAGGCCGGGGAGGCCTAAGAGTCTGCTTGGGAGTTTTTTTTTTTTTTTTACTGGTTTTGGTGGGTTTTTAATTAGACTGGTTTTGAGGTATTTAAAAACCATTACTTGCCAGATTTTTTATGGACTGGCTTAAAAATCCCCCAAAACCAGTGTAGTGTATTTTTGAGGGGTTTATAAAACACCCCAAATCGGGGTGTTTTGGCTGATTTAAAAATTTTATCCCAAAAAACCCCTTTCCACTATTAATAATCCATTTGCTGCTAAAAAAAAAAGTCATAGAATAGAGGAGTCAGTCAGCCTCTTCATTTGATTCTTCCTTCTCCAGCTTCTTAATTCTCTCAACAAGGTTTGTTTCTCTCTTTCTCTCTCATTTTTTGTTTGGGTTTACCATGCCATGCTTAAATGAGGGAAGAATCCTTTGTTCTTCTTAATTGATTTGCCCTAGATTTGCAATAGGTTATTTTATTAATCACATTTGAGATGAATTGCCGCTTGTTTGAAAGGTTATACTTTTTTTAACTCGTATTACTTCATTCAATCTTTAACTTTTAGATGACTGTTACAATGCTTTTGAATATTTTATTTATAGAATAATACGTTAGAGTCCAATCATAAATCAGGCTCTTTATTTTTATTTTTTCAATTTGTTTTGTGCGAGCATAGGTGAGACTAAAACCTTTTATTATTTGAGTTCTCTTTTTTCCGTACTTGTGCTGGCTCTGGCTAATATAAGTTGCCAATTAATCACATTTTTATTTAAAAATACTACAACAGATGTTAATCCAAGTTGATGATGACGAAACATTTATGGAGAGAAACCCCCAAGCCTTCTACCATTTTTTATAATGCAATATGCTTCCAGTTAAGACAAGAACAGAAAGCCAAAGTACCATTTACATTGAAACAATGATGTCCCTTTTAATAGACCCACAACTTCCAAAACCAACGGCTGCGTTTGGTTTAAAATTTGGGGGTTTTGGGAAAAGTTTTTTGAAAAAGGTTAAAAAAAAGTTGAATTGGGCGGGTATTACGAGGTAAAATTTATAAATTAATAAAATCTCCTTTATGTTTGTTTTTTTACAAAATACCCCCTATAATAAAACATTAAAAGTTAACAAAAATACCCCTAACCCACCCTCAAACACCCCCAGCCGGCGACCACCACCGGAGGTGGCCGGAGTCGCCGTATGGGCGCATGACTGGTTGGATCTTGCCGGTCATGCGTCGCTATGGCCTTTTCCGGCCAGATCCACAGTGGATCTGGCCGGAAAAGGCCAGATCTATGGTCAGATCTGGCCGTCAACGGCCAGATCTGGCCGTATTTGCTCTCAACGACGGCCAACAAACGGTCGTCGTTGATGGTCAACGACGACCGTTTGTTGGCCGTCGTGACCGAGTGTTACGGCCAAAGATCTGGCCGTCAACGGCCAGATCTTTGGCCTTAGATCTGGCCTTTTCCGGCCAGATCCACCGTGGATCTGGCCGGAAAAGGCTAGATCGGCGCACTGCCGGCCAGATTCAGCCGGTAGTGCGCCATTCTACCAGATTCCGGCCATTTTCCGGTGGTGGTGGTGGCTGGAATCTGGTAAATGTGGATTATTGGGGTGTTTTTGTAATTTTAAAAAATATTTAGGGGTATTTAATTAAATTATCAAATTTAAGGGGTTTAAAAAAAGTTGAATAATTTTGGGAGTAGTATTCCCAAAAATCTGAATTTTTGGGTATTTTACTGTTTAACTTTTTTGGGAATACTAAAAGTAGTATTCCCAAATGTGAAACAAACGCAGCCAACATTTTTTAAGGTTGTATTTAAGTTGGTTTCACAATTAATTATTGATATTTTGCACATTTTGTTAGGCTTTTGTTATGGGCATATATGTAAATTTATCATTTTAAAAAACTATCAGAACCGCTGGAAAATAAACTCTCAAGCACAGGTTAGGTGTTTTAAAAACAGCTACTAAAAACCCCTCAAAACCGCTACGGTGATTTATCCTCAAAACCGCTACGGTGGTTTACCCTTAAAACCGCTACGATGATTTACCCTCATAACCGTTACCATAAAACTCCCAAGCAGACCCTAAGGCAATTGCAGTTAAACGCAAACCAGGCCCCACAATTTTTTTTTTTAAACTTTATATATAAAAAAAAAAAAAGGTATTTTTCAACCCTTTATTTAAGTTTTTAACATCTGGCACCCCCACTTTCTGAAATTCACACTCGGATCCCCATAATGGGTTTTCATATTTCCTCACCAACAACATTTTGCCCTCCAGAATGAATTTTTTGACTTTGCCTCTGGTTAAACATCGAATAGAAAAGAGAATCACACGCAGTTAAACCCATGGCAGATGAAGGAGCCGACGAAGTAGGTGGTGGTGGAAGGGAGGAGGGTGAGGTGGTGTATGAGGTGTGTCTAGTGTGTATATGCATGGTGATCTTGATGAAGAAAACTATAAATTTGACCTAATTGCTTAGGGATCTTTATAAATATATGAAATTTAAAGATATATTTGATCATTTTCTTAAAAATAATAATAAAAAATAAAATAAAAAAAATAAAAAACAACCTATGAAGATTTCCGTAGCTTCAAGAACAATTATGATTTGTTTTAAAATCTATAAAATCTATCAAAAAAGCATTTTTACGAATTAATAACGATATAATTATAAAGTTAAAATCTCAACTTTGTTGTATCTCAAACCATGCCAAAATACATGATTTAAGTTGGTAAATAATATCAGTAATTTCGTCACCCTATAAATATTATAGTTTGCCTAATAATATCAAAACACATGATTTAAGTTGGTTTCAGCATGACTGAAGTATATGGTATAGAACCTCTGGTAGAACACTATGCATGCTAGGTTGATTTGCTAGGCCGAGCTGGGAGATTACATGAAGCCTTTGGCATGATGAGGGGAATGAAGATGAAACCAAATGCTGGAATATGGGGACCTAGAGCTTGGTAAGATTGCTGCAGAGAAGCTTTTGGAACTTGAACCTCAGAAAACTCAACATTATGCACTCTTGCCAAACATGCATGCTGAGGCAGGCAGATGGTATGAGGTTGAGAAAGTGAGGGGCTTAATGGAAGGGAGTGAGATACAGAAACAACCAGTATACAGCTGGATTGAAATTAGAAATCAGATACTTTTCTCTCTGATGATCCAACACACTCTAGAACAGCAGAATCCGCAGTACATTGAAGACTTTAGCCGCACAGGTCAGATCTCTGGAAGTGAAAATCTACTCTATGAATAACATTGTATTGTAATGTACTAGGAACAGAGTCTTGTCATTTCAGTTATATGTGTACTATTAGGGTCCCGTTTATTGGAGCATACATAATGTACTTGTCAAATCTTTGCAAGTGTATATAATTGTAGGTATTTTTGAAATTTAAGCTGAATCCAGAACTATTACTCTTCCCCACTGCATTCACTTTATTAGATACTCATAAATAGTAGTGGATAAGTTTTCATATACTAGCATAAAACATCTGCTTTTTGGTAGACATGGCTAATAATCTAATACAATGAACTCTGCTATATAACGTTTAATCTGTGGCCGAGGAAGGACCATAGCCATTCACCTGTGACTTCTGGCATCTCCAAGGTCTGTATACCTGGCTGTCCAATTCAGCTCACACCTTATTTTTGTTGGATCACTATATACGTCCGGCAGCTCAGATATTCAACCTTTATATCCACCCCTGTTGCCTTCTTACATGCCTCCACAAATTCTTTCACTCCTGCAATTCATCCACACATGCATGCGTTTTTAAATTATTTTCGGATCAGAAATTCAAATGACTTATTAAAAAGACGAGCGTGAAGTACCTTTTCCTGTGCCAACATAGTAGATTCTAACTTTCCCAGGTTTTGCATTGGCAAGAGCAAGCACACGAGCACCAACCAAGTCGGTGACATCAATGTAGTCCCTTATACAAGTCCCATCAGCTGTTTTATAGTCTGTTCCTCTAAACTTGAGTCCAGGAATTATCCATTGAGCTACATTGAAACAAGCACCTGATATACAGCCACACTCTCTTGGCTCAGCACGAGGAGCTTCTCCTAGTCTTCCTTCTGGTTCTGATCCAATCACATTAAAGTATCTAAAATTATAGTCATATGTACAAAAACTCAGTCCCTTCCTATATATGTATACATGTGTCTTTTGAGATGAGGCGATTAAGGTACTGAAGGGAAATAATGATTAAACCTTGATTCCAACCACAAACATTTGAGACAGCGTGATTTGTGCTACATAAGTATATTTTGCCTGCTCATTCAAGAAGTTAAAAAGTAATAAAAGAACAATTATGTTAGTCAATAACATAACTAAGAAAAAGTGAATGGTGTACAACAGTTAATTATTAAATGCCTAAATAACATCAAATTCCAAGAAATCACCTCTGTTATGTGAACCCTCCCACGGAAACCAATTCCTAATTTCAATCTCAGTTCCAGAGGCTTAATTTCAGTAAAATCTGAAAACCAAAACATGAAAAAGAGTATACATATAAGCATCCTTTCTCCGTTCCAAACAGAATATTCTGATTCTTATTAAAAATCAAAGTACTCTAAGCAAACAAGCCATGCCTAGCAAAAGAAAATTAAAGCTCTTCCTACACAGTAACACAAAATATTAGGAGAGAAGAGCTCATAAAATATTTCAAATTTATCTACCTCTGCCTGAACCAAAGATCCAATGCTGTATGCAGATTTCTTTTTGGACCTCTTGGAACTGGAAGTCTCACTGACTTCACCAATAGATTTAAGAAGCAAAAGCAACCTGCCAGCAGTTGAAGGACTTGGAAGGGACATAATGGTAGCAATAACACTGCACAAAGTATCGGAAATTAGCAGAAAGAAAAAAAGCAATAATATTGAAAAACTTAGAAGGAAACAAATGATAGTTGTCAAAAAAAACTCCCCAGGGCCAAAGGAAAAAGCCCAAATTATTCAGAAGTTGTGTGCATTTATAATGTCAGGTTCCCTTTTTTCCACGAAATCAGAGAAACATGATGCAAGTGAGAACAAGAGAAGAGGGAACAATAAACATAATATCATTATCCTCAAAAAAAATTGAAGGAGTGTTGCCAATTTATGTGGCCATGTTTGCAGACAGGAAAAGAAGAATACAGCAGAAATCATTAATCATTATTTTCATTATTTTCACATATACAATTTGTGAATGGACAAAGGTGATCATTCATTTCAATGAAGAATAGAAAGACAACAGAAATTCATAACATCACCAACCTTAGGATCATGACAGCCATGTTGGTGGTTTTGAAGAAGTCGATTATGATATCTTCCGACATTTTCTTGGCTTTTCCATATGGGTTGATGGGCATCTGCATTGACAAATTGATGAGAAATACAGAAACTTGTCAAACTTAGCTGCAAGGTCGTTTTTTTTTTTAAACAAAGTCTTAACTTGTAAACTGAAATATACACAAAGGAAATTGTATGAAGAAATCTCACTTGAGGAGTTTGTTCTGTGATAGGCATCTTCAGAGGCTCTCCATAAGTTACACAAGTACTAGAATACATTATTGTCTTCACATGATGTTCTGCCATTGCCTCTAAAACTACCGATGTTATATTATGATAGTACCTGCAGAGAGAAATTCCCATGAAACTTAATGACCTGAAATCTTCAATGAATCGGTTCAGAGAATTGCATCACTTTAATCGAATTAATGCCTAAGAGGTTCAAGTGTACTTTCACCAACATAAGCAACAGCTGCAAAATGGATCACAGCATCAAACGCATTTTCTGCAAAGATTTTGTTGACCTGAAACATTTCTTAAAGAAAATAAAGTCAAATATGTATCTGTATACAGTTTCTTATAGGCACACTAAGCATTAACAGAAATGATACATTAATGTTGCTTAGTACTGATTTCGCATCTCCAAGATCAGCATAGATGAGCTGAAGATGTCCGGGCTCTGGAAATAGCTTTTGGAGAATTTTAGCAGCACCCATACTGCCTCTGGAAAGATTATCCTGTTGCAGTAAGCAAGAGTTTTCAAATTAATGAAACATAGTGACATATTTATAGAAATTGTTTTTAATGACTGAGAAAGCTTCTTCCAGAATGAAATATACCACTATAGTTACAGAGTATGAATCTTTGAGGAGTCGAAGCGCCCGCATGAGAGCCTATACAGCCAGCACCTCCAGTGACTAAGACATGTGTCACTCCTGTTTCATGGCAGGAGAACTGGAAAAGTAATGAAAAAGTTAATGTTACATTGCAAAGAAAACTGTGTCAAGATATAAAGAAAGGGTCATTTTCAGTACCCATAACAAAGAAAGCAGAATTCTTCTGAAGAAAAGCATTGGAAATAAATCAGTTGTAATACAGAATTTTTAACAGAAATTTGGGTGCTAAAAGATCAATGAATGATATTAAAGGATCAGAAACATACTGCATTGGTGGTGCTAAAATCAGATGAAGTTGTGAAGATAATAATGGAAACAGTTGCCGGAGGGCAGCCACAAGAATTCTGCCAGTAAAATTCTCTCCTAGTTATGCATTCACACTATCCATGCCTGTTTATTAAGAATAAACTCCATTAAGATGTGAAGAAATAAATCCTTAACAATCTAATAACGCCACACATCCATTGCCAGATATTCAACTTTCACTGCAAGCTTCTTCGCTCCATGGCCATGTTTACACAGAATTTTAAGCTAAGAATTTGAGATCCTACAAACAGTCGGCCATTTCCAACTTTTAATAGTTATGAGACACCACTTATCTCAAATTTCATTTTCAAAATGACATATATATATTTACTTGTTCAGCAATAATATAATGTGGAAATAATGAAAACTCACCTTTTGATACATGATCAAACAAAAACCAAAATTGAGTATATCCAAGATTAATCCCAAAAAAAATAAAACCAAAATCGTGCACAAGAAATGAGCAGTTATCTTAGACTGTTCATTGGTGTTACAACTTACAACCAGTTAGCTTGAAAAGCATGAAGCCTGGAACTTGGGAATAGCCATCCTCCAACCAATATTTTTAAATGTTAAGTACTACCAGTCTATGACATTCAAGAAAGCAAAAGATCTTAATATCCAGTAGAATCATATCTCGTTTAATCCTAATAGCTACTTGTGGTTGGAACAGCTGCATATTCTCTGTCCATAACCTCAATGACCTTATTGGCTATCGCGCCTGCATAAACAGAAGATCCTTCATATATCTGCAAAATTAGAAATAAATATAAATCTCTCAGAAAACACTCCATGGAGAAGATGGGTTTGGTAAAGAAGAGTAATCCACATCCACCTTTGTGTTGAACAGAAAGCTGTAGTAATCGCCAGTGTGGCCACCGGCAACATGGTGGAGATCCAACTGAAGCTCGTCAAGAATTTTGGAAACAAACAACAAGCAGTCGATCTTCTTTCTCTGAACGAGTTTGATGGTTACTTCGTCATCAATGATACGAACATCAACCTCGGTATCCTTGGATTTTCTCTGAAGCCAGGAACTCCTTAAAGAACCATTATAGGACTGCTCGGGATCACCAAGAGGCCTTATGTTACAATTCTCAACATCCCCTGCAGCATCGTCTTCTGTCTTGTGCCTCTTGCTTCTCTCTCTACCACATCTTTTTTTCTCTACTAGTAATTTGAGCTCGTTAACTGTCCTAAGAAGCTCGTTGATGTACTCGTTAGCATCTCCCACAATTGAGGCTCTATCGGACTTTGTTATATATGTGTAAAATTGTTATATTAGCAGCCGGTATGATATAATATAAACATTACCATGAAATTAAAGAGAAGCAGAAACGTGTACCTTGCTAGGGTTAGGAAGCAAATTCCTCAAGGCCGTGAACTTATCAGTCCAGTGTTCTCTCCTTTGCCGCTCCGTAGTAAGGGGCTTTTTCTTCTTGCCAGTTTCACTCCCTTTAACAATACAAGCCATGTCCCTTGTGAACTCCAGCATCCCTCCATCCCCATCTTGGTAAGCCGTTACTCCGCTTGAATCTCTCTCATCCCCGAACAAAGAATTAGCACCACTTCTTAAGGTTGGCAAACTGTACCCTTGGGGTATAGATTGGAATAATTCCCTGAACAAAGGAGGTTCTGGGGGCAGGTTGAGATGAAATAACGGATCATACAAAACGGATGTGCTATCTGAGGCTGGGAGGTTTCCAATAAAGCCCAAAGGAGTAGTGTCATGGTTTGAGTTTGCGAAGGAAATGGATGAATTTGGAAGCAAAGAGGATCCGGGCAAGTGAAAGAGATTGAGAAGGTCTTGTGTTTGGGGTAATGAATTGATATTGAAACTCCTATGGCCATTTTGTTGTGGGTCTTCTTGATTAAAACCTATATCACCGGTGTTCCAGTTGGAGTGATCAAATGAATGGAACTGATTTGGCTCGTCAACTACTTGTTGTATCATATGGGTATTGTTATCGCAGTTTTCCACATTGAAGGCCATATGCTTTTGAAGCTCCAGTTCCATAGCGCAGAGTTCCTCAGAAGAGAGCTTCAGATTCTCTTCAAACTGCTTCTGGCTGTTTGCCACAGCTCGACGGAACCCAGAATCTGCACCCTCTGCCATGGAGTTATTGGGATCGAATTCGAAGCATCCTGGTTCCTCATACATTGTAATAAACTAGTATTGGAAGCACAAAATTATTCCAAAAATGCCAGAGTGGAAACCAAGAATAAAAACGTACCCATTATTATGATCACAAACGAAATTCCAAAAGGAAGCGGACCTTTTCAAGAAAGGTTCATGAGACTTAAGGTTTAACTGCTATTCGGGAATATCTTTCTGTGTTAGCCGATCCAACACCAAGCGGCCACACCTCAATATGAAACAGAAAGATGACCCTCCGATTAAACTGAATGTCTTTTCTCTATTCTCTCACTGTTACAGAGAGAGGAGTGTTCGGAATAACGCAGACATATAAACAGGAAGGAAAGCCTGATGGATTTTGTTTCCTTTTGTAGAGTTAGTTACTGATATTCCAAGCTCTGGCCCCCACTTGATACAAGCCACGTGATTTACCGTTTTGCCTTTTTTTCTGCTGTTTCTTCAGAGAGAATAAAATTGAAGGAGGACAAAATGGTAAATTCAGTTTATTTTAATCTTTTTTTAATTAAAAATCAAGATTCCTGGGAAAAATTACTCAGGCAAAACCTTGGGTGGGAAATGTCATTCTCCCTAATTTTAAAAGAATGGCATACCTGTAATTTGAGTGTTCACACCATTTGTGTAGTCTGCCAATGTGTGTTAGTTTAGGTCGGAGAGATAAATCAGTGTGTTTTAATACGTGTGTATGGGCCCCACCTTCTCAAACTAACTACTATAACCGTTCAACCTTCAACACCCACAAAGACGTCCAAGTTGAAGTCATTTATAGGCAGAATAACATTTTCCCACTCAAGGTTTGGCGAAACGACATTTCCTCACCCATCAAGCTTTAAAATGATACTTTTTCACCCTTTATCAGGTTCTGTTACTGTTTTCTATTAATGTTAGATTAAAAAGATAAAAATACTCTTAAATAGTTTATTTCTTAATAGATTCTTGACTGTTTTTTTATAATCTATTAAGATTTTTTATATTAATTAGTAAAAATAAAAAACATTATATTATGAAAAATATTATAAATTTAATAGATTATTAAATAATAGTGATGAGATATTGATGACATTATAAATAAATAAATATTAAGGTCAATTAATTTTAAACAATTTCATAACATTATTCCTAACTTTTTAGTTAGGACTAACTATTTTTTCTTCTTAGACTTGTTAATATTTGACTTTTTGACTAATTAAAAAACATATGAAGTCAAATATTTAAGGGTATTTTTATCTTTTTAGTCAAATATTAATAAAAAAACATAACAAAACTTGCGAAGGGTTGGGAAAGTGTCATTTTGAAACTTGATGGGCGGGAAAGACAGCTTCACCAAACCTTGGGTGGGAAAATAATTCTCCCTCATTTATATTAAATTCATGTTATTTTACTATTCATGGAAAGTTTGTGTCACGCTAGCTACTCTCAATAATATTTATATTCACTTATACATACCGTTTTTCTTTGAAATCATTTTTCAACAGTAAGAGGATATTACGGTGTAATTTACTTAAATTACGGTTATTCTTCTAATAGGACATAAATTTTTATTTTTTTTTGAAGTGATTTTTACCCGAACAAAATACAATATTATAACTGATGTTATTATACAATCAAATATTAATTAATTTAGTGCCTAGTGCCCCTAGTTGTGTGTTGTATAAGCTGCATGTAAGAGGTTCACCCCTTTACTAAACTAGTTCCACAGATTGACATGATCACGAAATGAATCCGATTAAATTCAATCCCAACCTGTTTAAATGATATCGTATTTTTATTAGTTTGACCATAATTGGTATTAGAAGTATTCAAAACCGGTTAACCAATTTTGTGAATCGAACCGATTAAGGGAAAACTTGGTTTTTCGGTTAACCAGTTAACTGGTTTAGAACTTGTTTTAATTTAATATTTAATATTTTATATACTTTTATAATAAATCAAGTATTTTATTTTAATTTAATATTCTTATAATACTAATCGGTTTCAATATTTTCCCAAACTGGTAATCGAACCAAAAATTCGATTTTTTTTTTTTTTTGAACTGAAACCGAACCAGTTTTTCATATAACTGAAAATTCGGTTTGATTGGTGATTCTGTCCGATTCTTGCATTTTTTTTTTTTAACACCCCTAATTGGTATGGACTTTAATTCAAAAAGGGCTTGGGCTTTGGGCCTTATTAAAGAGATGGGCCAAGCTTTTTTATTAGAAAGCTAAAAACGCGTGGACCTCAATAAACGAATCCTGACCGTACACTCACTCTACTAGGCTACAAATCGACGGCTGAGATAACAGAATTCAATAAAGAGAGCATAGAGAGAAGCTTCTCGAAATAGTAGAAAACATATAAAGCAAATTCGAACCAAGCAGAAGAGAGAAAGAAACAAAAACAAAAATTCAGAGCAAACCCTAGGTCTCGTGATTCTGAGGTAATCTTATTAATTCTATATTTCTTGTTTAAATTCTTGATAATTAGTTGGTGATTTTTATTTTTATTTTCTCTTAGATTTTGAAACTTCGCGGTAAAAATTGGGAATTTTTTGGTAGATTTTTATTTTTGTTGTTTAAGTATCTTTTATTGAAATTAATCGAGTTTGATGGATGGAAGTTTCTTTGATTGAAACTGATTGATTTTTGTGAATGGAAGTTTCTTTTATTGAAATTAATTGAGTTTGATGGATGGAAGTTTCTTTGATTGAAACTGATTGATTTATGTGAATGGAAGTTTCTTTGATTGAAATTAATTGACTTTTGGGATCATTTGAAACCCGAGAGAGGAGTTGTATGGCTGGTAAATGGGCAAATCGTTAAATTTATTATAGTTTTTGATAGGTAAGTATCAGTTTTTGTGTTGGATTTATCATTGAATATTATAGAGCATTAAGAAGTAGTTATTTCATTGGGTTTGATGTGAGAAATTTATGCCTACTGACAAATAGAAATAAATCCAATTTTATGTTTTGTTTAGCATGTTAAGCAGTTTTTATTTTCAGTATCTTTAATGGGTGTAATGTTGAATAAATTTCAATCTTTTTGAAAACAAAAATGAAATAACTGTGCATTTTACTGAATGTTTATAAGCTGCTTCAAGTATTTTCTTTTGCCAGTTACAGGTTGTGATATTGTGGGCAAATGAGGGGTCGAAGCTACAGTTACAGTCCTTCACCACCAAGGCATTATGGCAGGAGGCATTGCAGCCCTAGCCCTAGGGGTCGTTATGGAGGTCGTGCTAGGGACATGCCTACCAGTCTCCTGGTTCGGAACCTACGCCATGACTGCAGGTTTGTATCTCTGATTTGTCCTTGTACTTGCCAATCTTGGGATGTAGATATTGCCTTTTGATGTTGCAGTTTTTTTTTTCCTCTCCAAAAAACAATCTGATTTGTTGGAATGTAAACTCTTTTTTAATTTTAACACCATGAAATGGTATAGGTGTGTTCCATAGAGTGACATAGGGTAGGTTTATCACTTCTGTTACATTCCCTATATAAAGATATTTTAGTTGTATTTCTTTTGCTTGGTTCATTCAAATCCAAGAGTTGGCAGCTGAACTGGGTAGCTTGGCTGTATGGTTTGTTTCATATATAATGTGTCTTTTTGTGCGTAAAGCCAGATTTGTTTTTAACTGCTTATATAAGCCAAGCATAATTGTTAATTAACAAATGTAAGTTCAATATATTATCTTTTGTCCATCAAACTGAAAAGCTTATATAATTTGTAGGCCTGAAGATCTACGTGGACCATTTGGGCAGTTTGGTCGTCTGAAGGACATTTACTTGCCACGGGACTATTACACTGGGTAATTATGTCTGTTGCGACTGTATAGTTTTCTTGTCTGTTAGTGAGTGAGTGCAGTGCTTTAAATAAGAGCGTCAACTGGTTTGTCTCCCTCCCATCTCACGCAAGTGTTTGGGGTGGGATTGTTTCTTTATTATCTATAATTGGTTTATGGGAATTTGGTTGTGTTTATTGGAAGTGTTGAAGACACCAATGAAGTAATAAAGAACTATGTTGAAGAGAACAATGAAGTAATAAGAGTACTCTGTTGAAGACACTTTCAAGTAATAAGAGTAGTGTTCAAGATGATCTTAATGTACATCAAGATGGGAAGAAAAGGTGGGTTTGAATACATTTTGAAGAAGTTCAAGTCTTGAAGAATTGTCAACTCATTAGATTTTTGGCTCTCACAAGGTTAGCTGCCACATGATTGTTTTGTTGAATAGTGTGGAGTATGGGCTTGTGCTTATCATGATATTTTCCATATTACCCTGTAGTCAGGATCATGTTTGTGATTTTGGCTATCAGCAATATATGTGGTTAAATGTCTTTGCACGTTTATTTTTGTGATGCTTAACATGTGTATGTTGCAGGGAACCTCGTGGTTTTGGTTTTGTCCAGTATCTAGATCCTGCTGACGCTGCTGATGCCAAATATCATATGGATGGTTATTTACTTCTTGGCAGAGAACTGACTGTTGTATTTGCGGAGGAAAACAGGAAAAAGCCTTCAGAAATGAGGGCAAGAGAACGTGTTAGGTAAGCATAGGTTCTTTGGCTTTATTGAAAAGAAAATAGCAAGTTGGTTGTTCTGTTATAATGACATTTATGGGTGATTTTGATGAATAAATATCAGGGGTCAATCATATGATCGTAGGCGGTCTCCTTTTGAATACTCGCGATCACCACGTTATGTACGGAGTTATTCTCGTAGTCCAGATTATTATTCCCCTTCTCCTAGGCGCAGGCGATATTCAAGGTATTTAAATTCTGTTTTATCTTTTTGGTTATTGTCTACTCTACAATTTCTAGTTCTTTATCACTTCCAATTTAAGTATTCACTTACAGAATTGCCGTGTGACAATTCAGGTCGATTTCACCCAGAGACAGAAAGTACAGAGGGCGATCTTACTCGAGGTCACCTTATGGGTCAAGGAGCAGGAGTGGAAGCATTGAATATTCTAGATGAGTTTGCTTTGATGATATGATAATAAGTTGAACCAAGGGATGATGAAGCTAATTTGTAGACATTGTGCTTTATGGAAACATTACATTTGCTAATTTTAGACATTGTATTTTGTTGAGTCAACACATGACATAATACGATATTATATGATATGTTATTTCCACTTTATCCAAATACTTTTGCCTCACGCTCGTTAGCTGAAACGACTACATCTTTAGTGGAACTTATGTAATCATATTTACCTGCACCAGTATATCATATAATGTTAGTAGGATTAGCCTATTGTTATTGGGTTAAGTAGAGCTGGAAGCAGTGGTTTAAAACCTAGCCCGGCCTAGTTGATTGAATCGAGACTTGAGGCCTTTACTGGGTTGGGTTATAAATTTTCTTATATACTAAAAGCTTTAGAAATTAAGATGACAATCAATGGACAATTAAAGGTTGAAATATGAGGGGTTTTGAAGAGGAAGGGTGGATGAGTGTACTGGTGACAAAGAAGTTAATTTCTGGTGAGTGAATCGATCGAAAATCGTAAAACTAAAGTTGTTGCTAACCCTTGGCGAGGCAATAGGGCAAAAGATTATATAAGTTTTGGTTAGGAGGCAGAGGGGTGTGTTTCCGTGATAACGAAGAGTGTTATCGTTGTAGAAAACAAGTCTTATATGTCCTGGTTTGTTGATGTCAGTCAAACCAGTTAAACTGGTTAACTCCAGACTCGACTATTTTGTCGTGTTTCACCGGTTGAATATTAAAAGATTGGCAAAAAAGTCATCTGGTTATTAAAACACTGGCAAAAAGTCACCGTTAAATTTTTTTATCAACCTAATGAATTAATTTCAATGTTAAATGATAAATATTTATTACCAGTAATAGTGTTATAATAGTGTAATTCTTAACACCTGTTATGTCACGTGACATGTAATTTTAACGTTATCCCATTTAAATCAACGTCAGTTAAACTTACTTTTCAACCATTAGATCATAATTTAGTAGTAAATAGTATTTATCTTGGTACTTTACAAAACTGAAATTTTGATCGTCTTCCAAAATCTTATACGGTTCAGATCTCCACAGAGCAACCAGACTGCACAAACAATTTGTATTCATCAGGCACGTTTAACTTCTCAAATTTACCATTTTGCCCTTCAATTGAATAGAACTCTTGCGGCCCACCTTGATAACCCGACCCACAAACCAAGGCCCATTCATCCATCTGGATCCCACACGTCCCCACCCCGATCGCAGGCTCACACTCGGCCCAAGAAAACAACTTCCCTTCTTTTCCCACCCCAACACACGACTTAGGACACCCACTCTGACTCGGTTCCCATACGCCCTCAACTCGTTTCCACTCACCCGTCCCGAGTTGATACGACTCAGCACTTCTCTCAAACACGCCTTGACTCTCGGTCTTGTACCCGCTAACTACGCAGAACATGGACCCGATTACGACCCCCTCGCACTCGTCTCGCTCTTGACTCATTTGAGTCAATTCACTCCACTCGTTGTTGGTTAAGTCATAAGCCCAAGCGGAACTCAACGCGTTCTTGTTCTCGTCATGGCCTCCGGCGATTATGACTCGCCCGTTTAACTCACCAGCTGCGAAAAAGGACCGAGTGTCTGGCATCTTCTTGCCCTGAGACCACCTCCGAGTGGTGAACTCGTACACCAACACGTCACTCACCGGCTGGTAACTCGCCGGGTCCCATCCTCCCATCACCACAAGCTTCCCTTGAGAGCTTGCGACTTGACAGAACAACGGAAGCCCATCTGGGTATTCAGGAGCCGGGTCAACTCGGTCCCAAGCCTGACTCACAGGGTCAAAAACCGTCACTCCATAACTCACAGAACAAGCCGGTTTCACCTCATCCAAACCGGGTTCACCCGGAAGCGACTGAACCAGGCAAACGGCTTTATGGGTATGGCCGGTTTTTTTTCTCTGATCGTAAAAAGCTCCGCTTTGAATGAGGTGTTGCCAGCGTTTGCAAACTCGGGCGGCTACTCGGTGAGCTGAGTAGTGCAGTCGAGTCAAGCACTCGAGAGCAAGTTCTTCGGGTAGACCCGGAATCAAATCGGGAAATTGAATCATTTGGTTTTGAGTTTTTTATTTTTTTTTTTTGGTTATGGAGTGGCTTTGTGAAGTGGGGCGGTTATTTATAGTTAAAAGATGGATGATTATGGCGGCAAATTGACGGTGATACGTAGCGTTTTGCTGACTTTTTGTGTAAAAAAAAGTAGGCAAGTGGATGTTGAGTGGGGTATCTATCTCCATTTGGGTAATGATTAAGTACGTCGGATCAGAATTCTCTCATTATATCAGTTGCGTCTGAGTCAGGATTCTATCATGATGTAAGCTTTGTATAATTATCTTACGATGATAGCTTTATGTCGGATCTGAATTTTCCCGTGATGTGAGCTTTTACACACTCTTGAAAATTAATATGAAAACCTCATACGTGGGTCCGTTTGCCACAATATTTCATATTTTATTTTTAGCTGTTTGTTTTATTATCTTCGTAATATTATTATATTTTATTAAACTTTATTGATTTAACTAAACATTTTTAAAAAATTTAAAAATTAATAAAAATATCCTTACCGCTTATATTTATCAGATTCCGACCACTTGAAAATTAATATAAAAACCCCGTATATGGGTCCGTTTGCCACAATATTTCATATTTTATTTTTAAGTGTTTGTTTTATTATATTCATAATATTATTATATTTTATTAAACTATTTTTAAATCCTTTAAGTTTATTGATTTAACTAAATACGTTTAAAAAAAGTTTAAAAATTAATAAAAATACCCTCACCCCCCATATTTGTCAGATTTCGACCATCACCGTTGAAAGGTGGCCGAAATCTAGTATAATGGCATACTACCAGCTGGATCTGACTGGTAGTATGCTGATCTATTATATTTCGATCAGATCTTTGGCCGTAACTAGTAGTCAACGATAGCCAAAATATGGCTGTCGTTGACCATCAATAACGACCAGAAATGACCGTAGATCTAACATTTTTCGACCAGATCCATTGTGAATCTGGCCGAAAAAGGTCATATCAGCACATGAATGGCCAGATCCCACCGGTCGTGCGCCGTAACACTAGATTCCTTTGGTGGTGGCTGGAATCTGGCGATTGTGGGTGGGGGTGTTTTGTTATTTTACAAAAAATTTATATATTGGGTATTTAGTAAATTAGCAAACCTAGAGGGGTGTTTTTGTTAATTTTTAAATTTTACCTCAGTTATTCTCACCCAATTCTAAAAATATCAAAAATCCTATCCATATTAACAAAACAAACGGACCCAAGTTATTACTGTTATATGTATATTTTATCACGTATTTTGTCTACATACGATGTTTGACTACGAGAAATTAATAGAAGACTGGTATGTTGCAATTTTAACTTGGATTAAAGAGAAAATCAAAATTTTGTTAGAGCACGATTTACACATGTTTATTAAACGTAAACCTTCTTAGACGTTTTAATCCTATTCTCAAAATTCTACTTAAAAAATGAAAAAAAACAAAAAAATAGTTTTTCACAAATCATTTTCGAACAATGGAATCCACAATAAGGTTAACTGCTAAAAAATGAACCTTCTATTATCATATTATTTTTATTATTATTATGTCTTAATCTTGGCGATTAGATTAGATGAAATCTCGAATGTCTTTTCTTTTTAGGTGTCTAATCTATTTAGAATATGTATCATAAAAATAATGGTATAAATTGAATCCCTTTATTTATATATTAAGATTATGTATGATCGAGAATTGTTATTTTTTTTTCAATCTTTATTTATTATTCATTGTTTATAATTATTTTTTCAAATATGTTTGACATATAATATTACTATTTTAACCTCCCACTGTGCTAGTTTTATAGTTAACATAATCACTTTCTGTTTAATTAATCTTTTAACATCAATATCATAAGAGTAATACTATGTGCACTAATTAAATTGTACCAATTTAAGTACTAACAATTGAAATTTTAAATTTTTTTTTTTTATTTTTGAGAAAATTGACGTGATAATAAGAAAAATTTATACTTGGATTATATAGATTTTAGTTAGTACACATAACATAATTCATATCGTAATCTACAAGTTGGCCATTGAATGAGGGCATATCTAATTCAGCCGTCACAGAACATGTTTTCTTGAAGAAGATATGACAAGTTGAGTAAATGTACACGTTTACACCTTAAGGGATGTGGATAAGTCCACGATAAGTGCTACTTTTAGGGCCACGATTGAGATGGGTATATGACATTTTGAAAATGAAATTGGAAGTGTCAAAACTTATTGGATAACTATTGAGGAATGAGGATTACTTGATAACTTCAATTTTTATTTTAACCAATTTGCATATACTACCATTCAACCAATGAATGATTTACACGTCAGTATCGCTATTGAGTCAAAGACAAAAACTATATATATATATATATATATATATATGGATTGAAACATTATCATATATATATGAAATTAAACTTTAAATTTAATTTTACTGAAATAAGAAGTTTAGAAGAATCGATAAATATCAATAATCGTCACATTCAAAAATCGATATTTTAATGGTATTTATTTGTAAGGGTGAAATGCTAAATTGTGAGATTACCACAAAAACTATGTAGAGTAGATGCCCTAGAGCCAATCAATTATTGTAGAAATTGCTCTGGTAATCATGTCATTAATCAATAATAAAAGGCATTTTATTCTATATCGCGTAAATCATTATTATTGCAATATGTATGATATTGTCCTTAGAATGGTAGAACCGTGACGAGGGTATCAAGGTTTCAATCTTGATAGTGAGAACCCTATGAGCACTATGTGGCCATTCTAGAAACTCCGTTACCCCAGTATTATTCTGAAGTAGGGCACAATAATACGGTAAGGCTATAAGTGTTGAACGACCGTCGAAAGCAGTGCTGATCTCATTGTCAGGTTGTTTAGTGACCAACCTGGTGCAACACAGGGGTGCTTGTTGTGAGGATATACGCAAGCAAGTTCACTGACTGACCCCCAGAGGATTCCATAGGATGGTACCCCAGTGTCTATGAACAAATCCTCTAACGCATGGTGGTGCATGTGATCCTAGACTTGAGATCACCGGAGTGCCTTGTGCACCGATTGGTACAGTTTGACACTAGTCCTAACGAGTTCTATTCAGAGCTGTCAATACGGTGGTGATGGCTATATCAGGAGTGTATCAAGACTATGGTGGATTGATAAGTATTCATCACTCCCAGGGGTACGGGAGGAAAGTTATCTCACGGCGCAATTCAGTATGAAATGGACAATACATAAACTGTGGCCACAGTGGGATTGAGGTTGTCTCTATCCAGATATATATGGGGTCTTGGTCCAGAAATGAATATATAATATCGAGAGTACCGAAGGTGACAGACATATTTCTATGCCTTCGTCTGTCGAGATACGTATGATGAAAGATCGTATTGTACAGTAACCATACGTTGACAGGTGCTACTTTCTGAATCCGAATCTATCGGGTGCCATGATGCCTTGCTAGGGGCAATCTTGGTCTGTGTATTGTGAGACGATTATTTGTGGTTAATCGCGATACTATACACTACCGGTATGATGAGGGAAGCCTATGGCCACACACATAGAAATAATTTAAAGAGCCAAGAAGAAAGAAGAGGCTTTTTCGTCTTTTTAGGCGAAAGGGTATTTTGGTAATTTCACGTGGCAATTAAATTTGCTGAGGTCGTAGCCTTTATTAAGTGTTAAAAAATTAAATAAGTGAAATTACGGTTAAATGTGTGTCGCACATATTTAATTAAATCATCTATTGATATAATGTATTAAATATTAATTGATTAATTAATTTTTAAATTAAATATCAAATTGGGAGTGTTTGGCAACATGGGGTGTTTGTGGGTTGGAGCCAAGCCCATTTCAGTGGGAATAGGCAATGGTTTGCCTTAAAAAGAATAGTGTGTGTGTGTTATTAAATTCAATTTTCTATTAAATATTAGAAAACAAAACCAGCCCCATTTTTACACTGATTCACCCCCTTTCACTGTTCAATTGTAAAACAAACATTTTGTTTTTCTGTGCTTGATTTCTTAAGCCAAGGAGGATCTAGCAAATCCCTCCTTGGTTCTTGTGATTTGTCTTCGTGTGGACCTGTACGGTTCGATCCATACACTTGATCGGTAGCAACACATAGAGACAACATGGTGGAGCCTCCAAACGTGTGTATACCTAAACCTTTGATTTATTTTTCTGCAATTCTTATATGCATAAACTTGTAAAATCTGTGCCTTGATTTTGGGTTCTAGGAACGTCGTGGTTAGTAAATTTATTTGTTTTTCGCTGCGTCAACCGGGGTCGTTTCCTACAGTGGTATCAAGCCTAGTACTAGATTCAGTTATTGAATGGTGTGATCATGTATGTTGTTGATAACTGCTGCCTTGATGAATCTGCCATGAAAACCCAGTTTTGAAAAATCTGTAATCACTGTTGATGATTGATTCAAATGGGAAACTGGTTTAACTGAGTTGATTAAAGTGTGATTATATTGGTGGTTAATATTCCTGGTTGTAACGTAGGCGTTTGTTGATTTGATGATTAGTGTTATATACACAAAAACTGCAAAAAACGAAACTGAGTACGAATTGGGATTTCCAGGTTTCGCCGCGGGCAAGAGTTGCCGTATAAAATAACCTTCGCCCGCGAAGTCTGAATGGGGAGGCTAGACCTAATTTAAATCCTGCCGCGGCGAAGATAAACTCTTCGCCACGGGCGAAAGTAGGCAACAAGGAATGCATACTGTAAGTCCTCGCCGGCGAAATCAAAACCGGTGCAATACGCGCGACGGCTAGTAGGTTATGGTCAATTTTGTATTGATTTCAAGGACTAATACTAAGCGAGTTTTATAACCTATAAAGCCAATGTACATTCTGCCACATTTAGAGGTAATTAATTAATTAACCACACCCAATTCAAAAAATGATTGTTGTTTGAAAGTGTGCTTGTACTGTGTTTGTATATTGCTTTGCGCGGTACATGAGCTCTTAGACCTAAGTGATGTTGTTTAAATAGTTTGGGTATGTATGGCTGTAATAAAAATGATAGGCCTCGGGTGTCCT